ACTCCCCACCACCTGCTCTTTCAGCTGGCTAAGTCCTATTCATATTTCTGTGTCAGCTTAAATAGCACTTCCTCAGAGGGCCTTCCCTGACAGCTGTGGTTGATTGTGTTCCCTGTGGTTGTATCTTGCAGCACCCTCTGTTTTTCCTATTTCTCAGAGATCATACAAACACGCACACATGTTATACAGAGATATGCATGTGCCTGTGTGTTTAAAATGATTTCTTTTCCTAAATGAGAAGCTCTATGAGAGATCATAATGTTTGTCACTCTCACACTACAGGGGCTCAGTATAAAATTACCACATTTAGTAAAGATAATAAACGTTGAAACTAGTGACATTGAGGCTTTGACTTGATCATGTATCTGTTTCTTCATGCAACAGGGGCATACCTCTTCATTAGTAAGAGCCCCATGTGGTTGTGATTATTTGTCAACTTGTCTGCCTCTCCCACCAGACAGTGATCCCTTCAAGGGGAATTCTCTGTGAATTACAGGTTTTTTAATGTCCTGCATCCAACACTATGGCAGACACAGACTATGTTTATGGGTCTGAAACTTGAAATCCCAAGTCGGGTTAGTGGCAAAGGAAATGAATAGGAGAGGTGGTTTTGGAGATGGATGGCAACATGATGAGTTTGTACAAACTTGCCCCTCAGATTTCAACAATAAAGACTTTTAAAAAGAAAAAAAAAAGATTTCAATATTTGAAGTGTAAAGGAATCCAGGAGTAGTGACAATTTAAACCAGTCCTTCTGGATCTAACTAGAATAATTCTATATGTGTACACAAAAAAATAAAAGACACCTACATCTCAGGAGTTATTAGCATAGTATAAAAACTGTGGCATGTCTCAGGAGCTGGTCCTGTTGGCGTTCACTAGGAAATGATTCCAAAATTAATGAGATGCTGAGCTATTTTGAATTATAAACAAAAAAAACCTGACAATGACTACTATCCTCATTTACTTCTTTATTACATGTTTATTTTGGTATATTTTGAGTAAACTATTAAATGCATTTATTTTATACACAAACCATTTTAAAGCATTGAACTTATAATGGTGAGGAGAGTATAAGAGGAAACCTAAATAATGTCAAATTTGTAAACTAAATGCTTAATACATGAATGTTCCCAAAATTCCATGCACAACTTGGGGGAGGTGATCTTCTTATTCTCCTATACTTATTGTAGTATATGCAGCATGCTATTTATGTATCAAGTCCTATTTTGTGTGCCAATAACTCTGTGATATATAATGTAACCTCTTCATTAGAAAGAGAAGAATCAAGGAAAGTGGTGTGGTATGGTGGTTAAGAGTATATTTTCAAATCCTCACTCTGTCACCTACTTAGTTATCTGATCTTGTGGCAAATTTCCTAATCTCATTGAACTTCACTTTTCTTCTCTGAAATACTGGGGATGCTAATGGTAATAATAACAAATAATCACTAACATTTACATATGGGTTATTGTGTGACATGCTTTATTTTCATTCTTTGAATTTATTCACTCCTTTAATTTTCACATCAACTCTATGAAATAAGCAAATATTACTATCTCATTTTAGAGGTGAAGAAAATTAGGAACAGAGAAGTTAAGCAACTTGTCCAAAGTTAAACAGCTAGCAAGTGGTAAAGCTGAGTTACCCAATTATTCTTTCTCTAGAGGACACGCTTTCCATTGCATGTAAGAATTTATATCTTGTAAGAATTATTTATTTCATGCCTGTAAAACACTGAATAGATCTGCATATTAAGAGTTATTCATAGAGTTTAGCTATCATTCTAATACATTAAAAATAGAACAAATTACCAACTAGTGACTTTGGCTGGTAAAAAAAATAAAAAATAAAAAGATAATTAAGGTTTCCCCTCACCAATTCTGTTTAAATTAATAATATATGACAACAAGGTAATAACAAATTTTGATTTTATGCTAATAGTACTGTAAGACTAGTGTGGTTATAAATTTAAGGGATTAAGAAATAGATTAAAGTTCTGTTGATTATAAAATAATTTCCAGTCTGGCAAAGTTTTAATTATTGTACTTATTTGCAAGATTGACTTTAATACAAAAATTATAACTTTGCAAATATTAACTAAATGTGAATATGTACAAACATGCCAAGGTAAAATATTTAATACCAAGTAGAATCTGTGTTATTATTTTTATTAATACTGGAGGTTTTAATAGAGCTTGTTAATGCTTTTTAGCATATTATTTTTGCTTACTAGTATTAAATATATTCACTTTAAAATAAATAATCACTGTCTACAAGACTTACATTTTACAACTTTTTAAATTTTAGGGCTTGAAAGCTAAAATAAACTTTAGAAAACTCAGAGAATTCTCTTCAACAAGATATCCTAGGACCAAGGCAATGAAAAACTCTATTAAATGCCTACATATATTAGCAAACATTCATTGAGCAAGTGCTCTCTGCTGGGCTCTGTGTGATTCCTAATATCATTGGCCACTATGGAATCTATTAATCACCATGGGCATATCTAGTCTAACAGCAAAATAACGCAAGATAAGTTAACACAAATGTATTTGGAAAGAAAATTTTAAATAAAGAAATGCAAAGCACAGTACCACATTTAGCCAAGAGTTAGGGAGTAAACTATATGTTATATTTTGAAACTAGGCTTGTTTATTTTTATCTTCTCTCTGTCATCTATTAACCAGCCTTCTCAGAATAAAATGCAACTTCTTAAGACAGAATGGAAAACATCCAAATTTATTACAGCATGAATAGGTATCCTGGATAAAGAAAAACTGCAGAAAGGTAAGGCTACAGATCCCTACGCCTCTTGGGAGATAAAAAGATTTGACAGAAAGTGAACAGATTAAGCAGCTGACTCATCACCTTCTAAAATCTTCTGGACTATCTTCTTGATCACGGGAGCATTTGGATCCAGGCAGATTTCCTTCCCATTCTTCAGCGTGGCTCTGCAAGAGAATATATGATTTTATGTGTGTCCTGTCCTATCAGAGGGATTGCTGGGGCTGAACAAAACAGCAGTGATGAGGACTGAGGCAGAGGGCTTCCCTAATGAGTTAATAATACAAAAGCATGGACTTACATCACTTCGACATTGGAGCAATGGGGTCCTGCCCCGAACACCTTCAAATTTTGGATGTTTCTGGGATGAATGCCAGAGGTGGTCGTTGTACACATGCAGCCAAGTTCAGCATGGTGCTCACCTTCCACATTTGCAGCTGGGATAGAAACTGAGAAGTGGTCATGAGCACCTTTAATATCTATCAACTTGATTCCTCAGTCCCCTTCTTTGTGAATTGTAGCTGGCTCACAGCTCACAAGGCCACTGTGAATATGATCTGAAACCTCTAGTAAAGAACCAGAGCTGAATGCCAGGCATGTGGTAGGTACCCATTAAGCTTAGCTCCTCCATTTAGAGTTGTTAGTATAATGGCTTTCCCCAGCCTCAGGAGCACCAGGACAGCTGACACCCCCCTCCTGCCCCCCTGCACCCCGCCCCCCCCCCACACACACAGCAACAGCAGAAGCAGCCACAGAGGAGGGGAAGCGGGGACTCCACCTTCAGGTTCCTCTGAGTTTCTCTTTCTTTCTCCAATGGTGGAAGAAACCATCACAGTCAGGAGCAGTGACAGCTGCAGCAACACCTGTAAGACAGGAACGGAGGTGGCCCTGGGTCTGAGGTTCATGGCAGAGAGAACTGACCTATGAACCTTGAGTTGTTCCCAGAACCTGGAGGCCTCAGCGTGAGGTGGACTGTTCCCAAGGAGTCTGCGGCTAAGTGGCTTTCACGCTCTCCTGGTGTCTTTTATATACACTCCCTCATGGCCAGTAAGGACAGAAGGATGGGACGGGGGAAATGAACGCATGTGGTAATATTTGTATAAGGGTAGTTATGCCCAACCCAGATAAACACCAGGCAAGTTAAAGTTCCTGCTAAATTTCATTCTGCACATTACTTCACACTCCCTCTCCCGCTTTCTCAATACTGATCTCCCTTACACATATTTAACGCTGCACTTAGGTAAGAACTAAACTGAAATATTACATATCTCTGTGTAACTATGAAATATGCCCTGCCTTTCCTATAATGTAATTTATGTGAGGCCGGATAGAAATATGTGACTCTTTGCGAAGAGAATTATCTTCCCTTTCTAGTTGCCTGGGAAAGCAGGTGTTCCTATCTTGGTTGTTGATAAACGCTGGGATTCCCTTGCAGTGTGTATGGATGAAATGAACTGCTCACCACCAAAGCCTCACTTTGCATGTTAGTGTATGTGGGGTTTTTTTTCTGTCTTTGAAATGTATTACTTTTTTGTAATTTTATTCAGAAAGTAGAAGCAAACTTATCCTCCCTTGTGTTATAAAATAAACTACTTGTTTCTACTGTTTGAATATACCTTGAAAAGCAAGACCCAGCATTGTTATTTTTCCTTTCCTTTTTTTAAAAGAAATCTATATTTATTGCTTTCAGAGAGGAAGGGAGAGGGAGAGAGAAATAGAAACATCCATGATGAGAGAGAATCATTGATTAGCTGCCTCTTGCATTCCCCACACTTGGGATCGAGCCCGCAACCCAGGCACGTGCCCTGACTGGGAATTGAAGGATGATCTCCTGGCTCATAGGTCAACTCTCAACCACTGAGCCACGCCGGCCGGGCTTCCTTTTTTTTTTAGTTTAACACAGAAATATATAGTATAATTTATTTTAAAGGATTCATACACTGCAGGTGTATGTGGAATAAAACATGCAAGTTTCTCTTTATTATTATTCCACCTTCCCACTCTGTGGTAGTAACCATCAGTAATAATTTGGCTTTAGTGTTTTATTCTGTCTGCATTTATATATACACATGTACATATACACAGAGACACACAGAATACAGAGAGATACACATATATACATAGAGGTAGACATAGATGTTTTTATATAAATGGGATAATTATACAGCTTTTGTCCTTCAAAAACACGTCTCCAGCATCCTCTCATGCTACCACAATATAGTTTTGCCCCATTCTTTTTAATGACTGTGTGAGATTCAATGGCACTGGCAATCATTGTCCAACCCATGTCTTATTGGAGACTTCAAGTGTGTTCCCAGTTTTACACTATACAAATTGCAATAAGATCTTTATTCCTTAATTTTCAGACCCTAATTAAGGGTCTTGATCTCAAACTCCACTTGATATAGACAAAGCCCCACAGAGATACAGAGGTGGACCTACACACACAAGGGGGCTTGTATATGTTATTGTCTGGATCTCTGTTCCATCTATAAGATTTGCTTCCTCAAGTGGGGACTGTACACTTTTAAAGGCAGAGGCATGTCCAAGGTTTCTTTGAATGTCTCATGTATCCTATAGCATGTAGGGTAATGCAATGCACAGGGGTTCTAAACAGTGCTAATAAATAAATCAATGAATATGTATCACATGGAGGAAAGTTTCTCTTTGTTTTCTAATCAGCTACAATTCTCAAACCAAATTCCACATGGCCCAAAGTTCCCGTGATTTTAAAAGATTTGGAAGGCAGGGTATAAAGGATAAGGCCCTGGCCACAAGTTATCTTCCTTTGACAACTATATTCACATCTTACACAATATTTAAATTTCTGATTTTCTTTTTGCTTAATTTTCATACTTCTAAAATTCTAGAAGAAGCTATCAAAATATTAAATGTACAAAATTACTTTGTATCAAAAGAATAATTACAGTAATTAATTTTTCCAAGTTTTAAAAAAACTTTTAAAACAATTTTTCCTATTGTTTCTCAGTTACCAGATATGCCTCCTTAAGATTTTAGTTCCTGTTTTCCAATATATTCCTTATTTTTCCCCATCCCATTTGTTATCCTCTTATAACTTACAATCTAGCAGTAGAACATATTAAATTAAAATGATTTTCCTCCTCTCCCAAACCAGAAATTCATAGTTTAAGAAGTAAGCTTAAGGAAAAGCTTAAGCTGGAAATTATCCTAAGATCTGAGATGTGGAGTGAATTGTGGAGAGAATCTCAACAGAAAACCGAGAAAGGAAAGCAAACTTCTTTGTAGGTCTTCCTGAGTGATGACTTTAGAGCCTTTCACCATCATTAAGATTGATATATTGTTAATTTGCAAATCAGATGTTTTGATTCAAACATAAGCTCAAAACCACAAAACCCTTTCCAGAGCAAGATATAATTTTTAACATTATTCATAGCATCTTTCTTTTTCTGTTCATCACAGCCCTCCTGATGCACAATATTTATTGGCTTCACTGGACTCAAACACAATCCAAATTTCTTTCCTGTTTTATTGAGTAATATTACTCAGAAGTTCCTAATCCTTTTGGAGGAAAGCCATGCAAAGTCTTTTAAACCAATGATGCTGTTTGAGTTAGTAGGTACCGGGAAGGAGGAACACGTGTAGCACAGGATCATCAACTCATTGTCTTAATCAACAATTGTATTTTGTCACAAAGGACACATTGACAGCAAGATTCATGAGTGAGCATTAACAAATTTCTTGAGTCACTCAAATTTTACAAGCTTATTAGTCAGCATTTGAGGTAAATGATTTTTTTGCTAGCTTTCATTTATTTAATAAATTTTGATTATTTAATATGTTCCAGACATTACAAAATTCTTTTGTGTGACTTAGTCATTTAACTATTTCTGTATAAAAAGTGAG